TACGTACTACCGTAGACGGTGTATGCTCATTCAGCTTGTGTAACGGATAACCCCCTCTTCTAAAATTCCACATCTACCGAAGTCATCTGTGCCCAGAAGAGAACAATCAGTTCTAACGTGGTTCTACTGATCAATCGTCGTTTTTGCCTCCTTGTTACAACGACTGTCTCTGTGTCGTACAACAACAGTGACCTGACACAGGCGGATTTTTGTAGGAAGAGTTAACTCTTTTCTCAGTCCAAATATTTGAATGATTAACAAAAGCATTCGAAACTACGGCGATCCTCTTATTTTCCTCCTGATTTAACACTGGCTGGCTGGTACCACCTGTGGATTTGATGGAACCGAGAAACTTAAACTGATCAATCTTCTCAAACTCTCTGTTCCACTTATAGGTCAGCTGTGTCGGGTGACGCTAACGAACAGAGCGGTATTGCATATGGAATCCATCAGGGAAGAGCGCCCGAACTACCTCCCAGGACAATATCACTGCATACTCGATGTCGGCAAAATATCTTGCGGATATCTTGAACTGCGCTTTCCCTCTAGAATGAGACCTTCGTGCCTGCCATGGCTAAACAGTTTTTCTGAGAAGAAAATGGTGAACAGCAAAGGCGAAGGCACAGCTCGCTGAAGAAATCCACAGATAACAGAAAACCATTCAGACAGTTACATTTCAACTTTGACAATAGACATAATTCCTGCTTACATCTCTTCTAAAATGGAATCGATGCACTCAGGCATCCACTGCGTAACATTTCAAGATTTTCCGCATCATCGAACAATGTACTGAATCAAATGCAATGATTTGCAAACCAGTGCAACTGAAATCGTAGGCACTTTTCAGTGACTTTGCGCAGGGCAAGCCTAAGCTGCCTGATCCCTCACGATAGTACGAAGGTTTTATCAGGACTCGGCAGGACAGCGCCTGTAGGGAGAAGGTTCGAAATGAGGAACTATGGCTGACGCAATTTATCGACGATTACTGGCCAGTCCAAGTGACTAAAGTCAATAAAGCGTCGGCTAAAATCTAAAATACCAAGTCGAATAGTCCCAACCCCCGGGCCAAAATATAACACGACTGAGTGGCTAATTAAGGAACTAAAATTTAAATTCGTCACCAAAAGAATAGACAAACAAACCAAAAACGAACGAAACGAGGTTGACGTTGTGTTCTTAACATCGCGCTGGCCTAACAAAACTGTAAATATTTTACTTAGTAATTCTGAACTAATTTTAAAACAACTTATTATTTGAAAGTAATGCAAAATTACCTTTTCGGTGGTCTTGGAGGTGGACTGCCAAAACGAGCCATGTTTCGCGGGAACAGTGGCGGAGGTGAGTCAGTGTCACGTCTGACGGCAACAACGATGGTGTCTTTTGATGACGCTGAGGAGAGCGTATCACCACTGGATCCATCTGATGATGCATTTGCGGAACTTCTCGACGAAGCTGGAACAGCAGGTCCTTCGACGCGCAGAGGATATGGTAGGTTGGATGATCGGGCTGCTGTTGAATGAGTGGCAGTTCGCGGAGGAATAGGAGGAGATGATATTCGCTCAGGATATTCCCGTGGTCTGGAAATCGATTGTGAATCCAATGGCGCAGTTTCGAGCCCCGGACTGGTG